AGTGCAAAAAGCATGATTTATTTAACTAAACGCTTCCCTTTTCTTACTTTCAAAAACCACTTATTGAAGAGCTTTTATATGCCAGGAAAGAAAAATATCTCTTCCCTATGTGTACTCACAGTCTCACATGAGCAAACAGGCACTATGCTGTAATAGTAATAATAATATAACTATTATCATTTGTTGAGCAATTACTGTTTGCTAGGCACAATGCTATTTGATAGGGTAGGTACTGTTATCCTCATTTTATGGAGTGAGGACACTACGCAAGGTGAGATGAGTAACTTACCCAGGTGTACAGAGCTATTTTGGCTCGGCTACACCACTACAGTATAGGAAGGCAAAGCACTATGAAAAACACAAATATGGACTGATGGAGACTATGGGTGCCATGGAAGGTTTCTTAGATGAGGGAAGGCAGGATGTATCTGTAGACATGCATATTATTTCCATTTTTAATGACCACAAATACTCTTTCCACGAACATCTGTGCAGATAACTTTCCATTTTGTAGTCCTGCCACTCTCTTCCTTTGCTTAGATTCTAGGAAGTAGAATTCTGGGACAAAAATTTTAGAAAAACTCTAAGGCTTTCAATATTTTTTGCCCATAGTTGTCACCAGCTATATGAGAGTATCTACTTTACTGTAGCATTGCCAGCAGTGGGCATTATTACTTCAAAAACTCTTTGCCATTAATAGAAAAACCAGTATTTCTTTGATTACTCAGCTGAACATTTTCCTATCAATGCTGTCTTTAACACACAAATTTAAGATCTTTGTAGTTATAGCCATCAGGGTAGAAGAGAACATTAACACTGAAAGAACATTCTAAAATATCTCATAAATGTCATAATTTATGCCTACCATCACAAAATCAACTGGGTCACAATTAGCAATATTCAAAGATAACAAATTTCTATGTTCCTGCTAAGATATTTGACCTCTCAAACTTCCTATGAGCTCTAGGAAAACAGTAGAAATGAATTGTTTGATCCTATCACAATCCAGCAAGTAAAACATGTTCTATAATTGTTTGCTATAAAAATAAATAAAATCATGAAAAATAACAAAATATAAATGGAAGACATACTTTCTGAGCTCTATGTTCATGACACATTGCTCAGTAAACATCACATTAGGGAAAGATTAAAGAGAAGTAGCATGTTCCCCTCTTTCTCTTCCTGCCATATAAATAGGATAACAACATATTCCAGTTTGCCTGTGATAGTTCTGGTTTATGCCTCTTGTCCTAACATCTTGTCTGATTAGAGCTGCCTTTCAAAGGGTGTTTAATTAGGCAATAAATTTTATGGTCACTGCATCTAAAGGATGTTTCCTTAATGAAGAGCTGATCTTAGGAACAAAGTACTCACTAACCAGACAACTTGTCTTTTTGTCACTTGGATTTTCACTTTGAAGACTTACAGGCAGATACCTCATTTGGCCTTTACATGTTTTCATAATATCTTACCATCTGAAGCCAAATAATAATCTGAAAATAGTAAATTGCTAAGGGCATCCTTGACTATATCAGCACTCTTTATTTCATTTTATTGATAAAAGAAGTGAGGCATGGAAAGAAATTGTGACTTATTCAAGGTCACATCAAGTAAAATCATCAGCCATACGAGGGGAAGCTATTGAAGCTCTAACTTTTGATTTTTGATTCTCTAAACCACAGTCATTAACATGCAATGAAATCTCCAGTGTAGTGTATCAGAAAAATTTCAATCATTTAGTAAGTGGCTTTCCAAACTGCAGGCAGTAATAATCTATTTCAAACAATATGAGCAAAATCATAGGCATACCTTAGTTAATATTTTTTCCTTTTTCTTTTTTTTTTACTCAGGCCCTCTTGGATAATATTTTTTAATGGGTATACATTTCATGGTTAATAACATTTCATTTTCATTGAGTAAAAGCCTCTGTTCAAACCTAGTTGATAGGTACAAGCTATCAGAAGGTGAGGAAATATTTATAAAATAAGTGAAAATTTAAAATAAATATTTAATTTTTGGTTATTAAAAATAAAGCTTGCTCCATTTTTACATTTCACAAATATGTCTACATTTCATAAAAAGATGCATAATAGGTAAGATTTTACAAATATCTTGGATTATATCAGAAAATATTAATGGCACTAATGAAGTCACTTTCTATAACAACAAAGAAATCTAGGGATAAATTTAATAGACTATGACTAAGAATCATATAAAAAAAAAGTGACTCTGCTGCTTGCATAAAAGGAGAGGCATAACATATATTGAGCTGGAGAAACTCACTACTACGGATATGTCATTTCCATATAATTTATAAACATATTGTAATGTCACTCAAGGTCCCATTTGCATCTTGTAGAGGTGGAGTAAAGACCTTGGTATAAAGTCATTTAAAGTTCATTTGGAGGTTGGCCAGGTGTGGTGGCTCATGCCTGTAATCCCAGCACTTTGGGAAGCTGAGGTGGGCAGATCACCTGAGGTCAGGAGTTCGAGACCAGCCTGGCCAATATAGTAAAACCTCATCTCTACTAAAAATACAAGAATTTAGCTGGGCATGGTGGCACACACCTGTAATCCCAGCTACACAGGAGGCTGAGGCAAAAGAATCACTTGAACTCAGGAGACAGAGGTTGCAGTGAGCTGAGATCGCACCACTGTACTATAGCCTGGGCAACAGAGCGAGACTCCCTCTCAAAAAATAAATAAATTAAAAAAATAAAGTTCATTTGGAGGAATACATTTTAGAACACTTTTGTAAAGCATAAATAAGCTACAATAATAAAAACAACATTTTGCTGGCACAGATCAATGGAGTAAAATGGGAAGTTTAGAAACAGGCAAAGGTGTAATGTAAGTATTTAATAAATGAGAAAGACCAATTAAAGGATGGAAGAATTTAACCCATTTAGCCATGGATTTAGCCATTTAAATAAATTGTTTACTGTTAATAAACAATATTGTGATAGCTGGCTAAATTCATACCTCACACTATACATCTAATAAATTCCAGGTGGATTGAATATTTCAATGTATGAAAATGAGAACAAAATATTTCAGGAAGGCTTTTCTATGTAAAACTTCCAGGACATAATTTTTTTAAAAAGATTAATAGATTTGATCACATACAAAATACTCATTAAAATAAATATGTATTAAGGATATCAACCATTTTTCTGTCATTTATAACATAATCACTTAAATTGATTATTTCTTTTTAAATTTCATTTAGCTTATTTTGACACAAAAAATTAAAAATATATAAGAAGTTTAAAAAATAAAATTTCTATGTAAAGTTTTCTTCTTGGCTCTTGGCCTACAAATGACTTTCTTAACCCTAAACCAGAACCATTTTCACTTATATTTTCTCGGAATTCTGTCATTGTTTCTTGTTTTATGTTAATTTAAAAGATGAGCAGTCAAATATGGCTCTGTCTCATATTAGTTGTCTGGTTTGGGGATGTTACTTAACCTGAGTCTTAATTTTAGTTTCCTAAAAAAACACATACAATGAATGGAGTTGCTGTGGCAATTAAAAGAAATAATTTATACAACACATGTGTCATCATAGAATCTGGTTAATAACAGTGCCCAAAATGTTAGCTATCACTTTTAGTGCTATTGTTACAGTGGGTAGATAGTCGGGTATGAGCATGGCAGGAAAGGGCTTCCCTATCTCACACCAGGAGTGTCGGGAGACCATCAGGTGATGGTCAGGTGGTTGTTAACGGTCTCGCTGAAGTAATAATTGGTCACAGCTGGCACCAGGGAAAGGCCGTCTCCTAATAGATAGAAAACACCTAAAACTGGTGATGAGTGGCTTCCCAGTAAGATCTCAGGAGCTGGGTGAGTCGGCAGAAGTAACGCAAGACCCCGGAGGTATGCCAACACATAAAAACCCCAAGTCAAAAGGTCAAGCCACACACTTGTCTTTCAAGTCACCTGCTTGGCCCTTTTCCAAGTGTACTTTCCTTTCTTTTGTTCCTGCTGTAAAGTTTCTAAGTAAACTTTCACTCCTGCTCTAAAACTTGCCTGGGTCTCTCTTTCCACCTTATGCCTCCTTGGTTGAATTCTTTCTTCTGAAAAGGCAAGTACTGAGGTTGCTGCAGACCCATATGAATTTGCCATGGATAACACTATCACACTGTATATTACACTCCTCCCCATGCTTTTTAGAGACAAAGTCTTGCTATGATGTCCAGGCTGCAGTGCAGGCGCTATTCACAAACACAATCATAGCACAATATGGCCTCGAACTCCTGGCCTCAAGCAATCCTCCCACTTCAGGCTCGCAAGTAGCTGGGACTCTAGGTGCATGCCACTAAGCTTGGCTGGGCTTTTTAATTTCATTGGAAAACAGGTGACCCTTGAACAGTGTGGAGAGAAGGGGTACCTACCCCCTGCACAGTAGAAAAATCTACATATAACTTTTGACTCCCCAAAAACTTAACTACTAATGCTGTTGATTGGGAGCTTCACTGATAACATAAAAAGTCAATATACTTACAAATAGACTAGTATCTACATATATTTTATGCCTTCATAACGTACCTTTTTTTCTTATTTTTTTGATATTTCTATGCTACAAAGCTCATCTATGAGTTGTTTTCAAATTGTCACAAATCTCCAAAAACCTTTCTAATATATTTATTGAATAAATGAGTATATAAGTGGATCAGCACAGTTCAAACATTGTTCAAGGGTCAACTGTATGTATTTTAATGACCAACAATTTATGGTGATGGTATAGTCACCTGATTTAAAAACAAATTTCACATAATTTAATTATTTTAAAATCATAATGTATGCCAACTAGAAAAAAAATCTTAATTCTTTGAAGGCAGCACAGCATGGTACAATTTGGTCTTTTAAAGTTACAGTCCAAAATCATCAGGCGGCCAAGTAAGAGAGTCTTCCAAGAATATTAAACATTTTTTTACACATCAGAATTGCTAATTTATGAGCTTGAAATATAAATAGGATGTTTACCTTCTTTATCTTACCTCTAATAGGCCATCCTCTGGCAGATCAGTACAGTGAACAGCATTCTGGATCTTAGTTTTACCGAAGATTGCTCTGAGAGTTCCGGGGCGTAAATGCCGGGCAATTTCCTATTAAATAGATATTCACAAATAGATTAAAGTTAGTCATATGGTATAAATAAGAAAAACACTAGCTATATGAAACACTAACTTATTTATGAAATACATGTTATATATAGATGGTGCTAATTTTTCCTAGAAATAGCATAAATGTACCAAAAAAACCACGTATGTACAAAAACAAAAACGTTGAGCACTGAGAATTTTCAGTTCACTCAAGGGTTTTTCTGTAGCCCAATGTAAAATCTGCTGTCATCTACATATGGGGGGAAAATAATAATTACATTTCTTTTTACCAATAAATTATGGGAATCACACAAAATGTGAAACTAGTTCATTATGGTGAAAGACTTGTATTTTACAAAGACAGTAGAGATCTTAACAACTTTCATTTAAAATGAACCAATCTGATAGTATTGATTTCAAAAGATTTTTTACAAATGTTAGTTGTATCAACTTAGTGGTAGTTCATCTTAAGGGGGAAAAAATCGTCACAAACAGCCCTGAATTTAATGAGGTTTAGAGAGAGGCAAGGGAATGATAACCATGTACAAAAAATATTTAAGACAGACAGGAAGAGAGGACCTAGGGGATAAAGAGGTAACAGACAATGAAAAGGTGAATCAATAAATCTGAACTTCTGGGGGATGCGATAATTACTGAGATCAGTATGTTAGAGGACGGGAGCTGGAAATTTAAAAGACAGTTGAGATGGAGATTACTGTGGGTGGGAGAAGAGGGGGCTACAGTGATTGATAATGATCAGTTTTAAGGCATAACCATGGCTGAGGTTAGTTTGAGGGCGAGAATGTTAAAAGAAAGAAAAGCAACAGATTGAGAGGCCAAGGTATTAAATCTTGAGCACTGAGAATTTTCAGTTCACTCAAGGGTTTTTCTGTGGCCCAGTGTAAAGTCTGCTGTCATCTACATGTGGGGGAAAATAATAATTGCATTGCTTTTTATCAATAGATTATGGGAATAACACAAAATGTGAAATTTCATAGAGGATATAGAAAGAATCATTCTTCAAATCATAGAAAGAATCATTCTTCAAAAAGAATCATGACGGGTATAGCTTAGGGTGAAAGATTCTGAGCAGCATTCACATTTGTGTTTCCATCACTTAAGGATGTTTTAAAGGCATGTATTTATTTAATTACTTAAGTTTTATTTCCCAGGTTTCCATCAAATGTCAGCTATAAATGTATTATGTTTAGGAAAAACATTTTGATAAAGTAGAAAATAAGGATATCTTTACATGTTATTTTGTATTTATTACTTTCATTCTGTTCTCCATAATTTTTTTAGCAAGTAAGTATACAATATTAAAGACCTACTCAGCCGGGCATGGTGGCTCACGCCTGTAATACCAGCACTTTCAGAGGTGGAAATGGGTGGATCATTTGAGGTCAGGAGTTGGAGACCAGCCTGGCCAACACAGTGAAGCCCTGTCTCAACATGCTGAAACCCCGTCTCTGTAAAAATTAGCTAGGCTTGGTGGTGCATGTCTGTAATCCCAGAAACTCAGGAGGCTGAGGCAGGAGAATCACTTGAACCAACTCTGAAGTGGAGCTATGTTGGCAAAAAGTTTAGTGGTTGTGGCCTTAGGGTCTACACTTGTGGGGAAGTGAGGAAAACAGGATGGCCTCAGACAATCCTACACTCTGGAGCTGCAATGGCCCTTCAGAGTTGTCCTGAATTGAGACAAACGGGTCAGGCATTTATCCTCCAAAGTGATAAATTACTAGATGTGGGTCATTCCGGGGAAGGAGACATGACATTGGGCAAGGTAACTTTCTTCAGCAGAGGGCAATTCCTGGAGAGAGATTTTCTAGATTACTGTCAGCTCCTAACACTCCCAGCAGCTAAGGTATGAGCGTTTCCATTCTAAAGGGCAGAGGGACATCTGAGTGGCTCTCCACAGAACCACTATGCACATATATACATATATAGCACTTTGGACACTATGGCACTTCAGACTACTGCAATCTGATTACCATTCCCTTTAGGTAACTATTTTTGTTTTTCTTTCTGGAAGGTTTTGTACTATCTCTTTAGGCCTTTGTTATTTACCAGTCATTCTGTTCCCTACTCAATGGTTCAATTTAATCCAAGATACATATCTTCAGTCAGCTTCCACTATTTATTTTTCTCCTCAACTTTATCTTCTTGCCTTTATTTCCATAAGAAAGATGTTGAGATTTCTTGTGTTAACTTTTGTTTCTCTTTTACAGTTTCCATGTAATTATCTTTTCGTGTTATACTCTTGGAGAACAACTCCATTCGATCTGCTACCTCACTAATTTGCTTTTAACAAGGTTCACTGTGCTATTTTATTAATTTATTGCGTACTATAAAAACTTCAACAAATAGTTTTTTAATTTCCAGTATCTATACATTTTTTTTCCCATGGATCCAATATTCTCTTAAGTCTTTCTAAGGAAACTGACTCTCCTATTTTACAGTCTGTTTTTGTTAGCTCTATTAATTTGTTTTCTTTAGGTTTAGGTTTTTTTGGTTGAGTTTTGTGTCTTCTTTATGATATTGGAAAACTTCAAATGGTTGGTAATTCCTGGCTGTTTTTCTTTTTTGAGTTCTCTATTTGCTTGTCGTAGATGCCAAGGACATGCTGCTAGATGAGGTATTCTGGTTGCCTTTTTTTCAGAAGTGGGTACTACCACTTTTCCTGAGTGTCATTAGCTGCCTTCCCATTGCCCTGCCTCTTTAGCTCAAGCCCCACATTCGGTGCCTTAGGCTGTGGCTAAAAGTATCAGCTGCCTTCTGCTCAATGTAAGCAAGTGTGAAGGTGCTGATGTACTCTGCCACTCCTCATGTAACCCTCCAGCTAACCACCCTTCTTACAGTCCCATGCATCCACATGCCTGATGTGCAGCCCACCCAGCACCCCTACCCCTACCCCTTCTGGAGCAGTTCTCTGTTGCATGTTTTAGAGTGTCAGTTTCCCTGAACAACCCAATCCTATCTGCTTTGAGTCTTTTAAAGTTTATGGCCTGTAACAAAACTAAAAAAAAAGAAAACCCACAAAAACATATATATATATATGAGTATATGAGGTACTCTTTCTTGTTTTCCGGCATCATTGGAGATTTACTCTTTGAAACAACACAAAGTAAAACAGTAATTCCTGCAAATTCCTGTAAGAACTTGGGCAGCAAGGAGATGATGGGCACATATAGTCTTCTGCCATCTTGATGAAGTTTCATCTTACTGATAATCTCTATTTCTCCAACCCAACAAACCATCTTTAATTCATTTTTCATGCTGCTGTAATTTTGTACCTAAATGCCAATATGATTATGTTATTCACTTGCTCAAAAAAATCTTTGAAGGCTCATAATTGCCTATGGCTAAATGTCTAAACTCTTTAGTGTGGCATTCAAGGTCCTCCTGACTCTTGTCAAAATCTACCTCACTCACACCTGCCCTGAAAGCTTACACAACCCAATGAAAACACTGTTCCCTCCAAGAAAATAAAGCCTTCCCAATCAGAGTAATCCTTCCTTCTTCAACGTTCCTACAGTGGTTTACACTTCCAACATAGGCCGTCTTGATTTACAATTTATATAGTTGTTTTGTGAGCCGATTTTATTAAGATTCCATTAGATTTCAATCCCTGGACACAATATAAAACTTCCTTTATATTCTTTATCTCACTAACAAACACACAGTAAATGTTTGGTAAATATTTGTTGACTGACATAAAATGACAATACTTCTATTCAGAGTGCCAGGATGGAGTAGCAAATAAGAGCGGGGGCTATGGAAAAAGGCTCTCTGGATTTGAATTGTGCCTCTGCCACTTAATAGTTGTTTGACCACACCACATTATTTAATCTTCTGTGCTTGCTTTAATGTTCTTATTTGTAAAACAAGGATAAAATAGGATCTCTTTAAAGGAGATTAAGATAATTCTTAAAGAGATAAAAAGGCATATTTTGACAAATGTCAAAGATAATCTAACCAATATTATGTTATCTTTAAATAAACATATAACATCTCTTAAGAGTTTTAATCATCATAGTTTTAGAATAAAGGCATAAGTTTAGATTAGATCATAATCTAATTATGACCTATTATTCATTAATAAACCTCAGAAAACATGAAGTATTTTTACTGATATAAAATGTTTTATTTAGGTAAATGATAACAATGAAACCTAAAGATATAAAATAATAGGTGTTTTCTTCATAGCTGCTCTTAAAAATCTAGGCTTTCATTTTAGATCCTCTTTAAAAAAATATTGATAAGTTAATTTTAGTTTTGATTAGTATAAAGTATCACGTATGCTTATAAAGTAAAAAATACTGAAATACTAAAAAATACAAAAGCACTAAAAGCGAGAGTGGAATAATAACAGCACATCCCTCCTGCGTTTCCTGATAGATTTCCCCTAATTTTTTCTAACAGATTTACATTCCTCTTGCTGCTTAAACTCTGGTGAAAACCATACTACATGCATATTCCCCCTCCCTTCAAGGAGCAGAAACAATTATCAGATCACAAAAGCAACACAAAGTACCAACATACAATTTCATCTAATACTATAAATAATTGTTATTGCTGTATTTATAAATGACAAGTTATGCTTAGAAAATCAGACTCATTACTTAGAGGGTGAGCAGTTGTTCAAACTCCATATAATTTCAGGCATATTCATCCTCCCCTAAAACCTTGCCTGCTGAGTCCCATCAAGTCAAATTCTTAGTTATGTTACAGCTCATCATAAGTACTAAAAATTCTGCTCACGTAATCCTGCAGTGGGAGGAAGAATTCTGGCTTATAGAATGACCTCTAAATCTAAGACATCAAAAAATGTACCAAATATAGAATGGTGATTGACAAAATACTGAAAACAAAGAAGAGAATGTTTATGTAATGATTCTATGGCGGTGTCATTGTAAAGAATGTCACTGTTTATTGAATAGTAGGTCTATCAAATTGATAAAATATGTCTGGACAAAGAATAAATTACTTTCATAATAAAGCCA